GTACAATAGTAACTGTGGGTGTTGAGTGAATAATAACCTGCGAGGTCACAAATGATAAACTTAACGCATTGACTGCTGTGAGAAGCACAGCATTTTTATTCAACAGGAAAGTAGTAGACTAGTTTTTTTATAATAAAAATCTTAAAAGATTAGAAAAGATTCAACAGGATATTAAGTTAACACAAAGAACACTCCCATGGAATGCATAACAATGAACATCATATGTTGATTTTTAGAAAAATCATAGAAAACAAGTTTATTCTTGCAAACTACATCATTACACTCAGACAAGAATGTACTTTGGAGTTTTTTTATTTATTTTTGCATCTATAGGCTTCATATATCTATTTATATTTCTGAGATAGAGATTGTTTTATAATCCAGATAAATGAGTTCCATTGTATATATTATTAATTAGCTTTAATATAGCTTGATAAATAATCTGGGAGATCATTTGATAATAGATTACTTGTGTAAAATTTGTTACCTTATTCAAAAATCTTGAAAATGATTGCTAAATTAATGAAATGAAAATATTAATTGTTTTATAAATGTTTTTTGACTTTTTAGACCACTTCAGTAATCCAAATTAAAAATATAAATTGTTCTTCATCCTTGAGGAGCACATATGCTCATTTCCTCAATATATAATAATTGTAGTTTGTGCAAAATTATGGCTTTGCATAAAGAGAATTGCACAGTTTCATACAATTCTTAATTTGTGAGAAAACATTCTTAATTCCATTTTACATTAAAAAAAATTTTTTTAGGTTATCTATTCATCAATAAACTGCTAAAATTCAACCATTTAATAATTTAAAATTATATATTACCAAGTAAGCCAGAAATTTAAGATACTTTGAGTATATTAATCAGTTGTCAAGAGCAAGCAATAAAATGTACAAAATAAATGCTGTATTTTAAAATATCAAAATAATAGTTTTTATTATTTTCCAAGAAGTAAAAGCATTTAGAAGGTATCTGAAAAATGTTTTGCATCTCATTTAGATCCCTATCCTTTTGTTACCAATTCCTTATAGCATGCTAAACAAGACTGAACTTCTATTTTATCTATTATTCAGTCTGCATCGTGTTGATTCTATAAAATAAATGTGATTTCTCTATACTTTTCTTTCCCAACTTTTCATGTTACTATGTTAGCTAATATGTTGCTTATTAATTGGGGCCACTTTGTATTATTTTTATTGCTTTTATTATAAATTATTTTTATTTCTTTACACTTACAGTGCTAATAGATTCCTATCAGAGTCATCTCTATCTGCATTTTTAGCCGAAATCATCATAAAAATTGAGGATTTTTTTTTAGATTTCTACTTACCATTTCATATCCAGTACTATACTATATACAAACATCTCAAAACCCAATGTAATCCATAGTTGTTCGGCTTACACTACTTACAATATCTTATATGTAGACAATGTATTCCTAGCCTGGCAAGATATCCAAAAGGAATTCCTTTTATTCCACATCTTAAATAATATATTTGCAATCATAAAGCTTACTTTTGAAACTGAGTAATCCAGTAACCTGATTGCTTTCTTTGATATTCTAATTAAAAGAGTGAATGACTTGTTTCATTTTAGTATCAACCACAAGCTTGAATTACCTTTTATTTTTTTCATTCAAGTCATTCCTCTCTATAGGTACAAAAATTAGACCATTAGTTCACACATCCGTAGAGCTTATAGCTTAATGAACTCTGTTGTAACTCTTAATAATGAATTCACCATTATAAAGTTTGCTTTGTCTCAGTCAGATATTCTTGCAATAAGTTTGAATTTGTATGAAAATGTTTAATTCTCTCTTACCAATATCGACATTACATATTATGTCCAAGAAACTGTTCACCATGATATCCATAACATTTATTACAAATATCACTTTTTAAATTTTTAAAAAATTTAAAAATTGCCAAATTATTCTCCTCATTCAATTATTTTTTATCCATATCTCTAGCACTTTCATTATAATGTATTTTCTCCAATGATAGCAATTGCCTTCTTACATGTGAAAAATCTAGAATCTGTACAGTTACCCTAAGATATCCATCAGAAAATCAAATGAGAGCCACAATTAGAATGCTTGAAACCCACTTGAGAGAGCATATAATAAGACCTATAATAAGAGCATATAATAAGATCCATCAATTAAGACTTATAACTGAACTTGCTAAACTTGCAATTGAAGAACACTACATACCTATTTGGAATGATGTGCTATATTTATTGACCACTAAGGATGATGAGGGAAACCTTTTTGGAAGAAATTTTTATGTTTAAAATGCAGTTATTTCTTAAAGATTATCCTTTTCTGAACATTGGCTACATATATGTAATCACTCTGTACTGTACAGTACATACATACCTTGTAATATTGTGAAGAAGGTTGTAATGTTTCAATCAAAAATACTTGGGGTTTAATTAAAATGTGTTCATCAATACATTACTTTTTGTCTGTGTGAGTACTAACACCCAGTTTAACGTGTTAAGCATTATTTATTTAGAAATATGGTAATTGCAAATTGAGAGAAATACAGATTTTTATTCATTTGCACTAATTTTGTTTATAAAAAAACTATTCTCATCTTTATAAATATCAAAAAATTATTGTTAAATTAATGTACTATATTGAAAAAGTGTTATTGCCTTATTTGCTGCTATGTTTAATTGCAGTGTAAAAGGAAAAATTTTAACAGTTATGAAAGTGTGAGAGCTTTATCTTTTTGATTTTTTATATATATATATA